AGCACGACCACTGCAGCCACTACGGCAATCCCCACCACCACGACCACTCCAGCCCCTGTGACCACCCCCATGACCGCTCCACCTACCACGACTGCTCCAGCCACCTTGACCACCACCACTACCACCCACACAACCAATACCACCTTCACCACCACGACCGCCCTCACCACCATGACCACTCCAACCAGCACGACTACTCCAGCCACCACCTCCACTCCCATGACCACTCCAGCCACTATGACCACCCACACCACCACAACCACTCTAACCACCACGACCACTCCAGCCACTACGACCACTCCAACCACCACAACCACCCGCACCACAATGACCATTCCCACCACCACGACCACGCCCACCACCACAACCACATCCACCACCACTACAACCCCTACCTCCACAAGCACTGCAGCCACAACGACCATCCCGACAACCATAACCACCACCACGACCCAACCCACCACCACAACAACCCAGACCACCACGACCACTCCAAGCACCATGAGCTCCCTCACCACCACGACCACTGCAACCACCACAACCACCCCCACCACCACAACCACTCCAACCGTCACAACCACACCTACCACCACACACCACCACAACAACCACCACCATCACGACCACCACTACCACCGCAGGTCCAGGTGAGTTGTCTTCCTTGGTGGCACCACCTTGCTATATCCCTGCTCCCTGACCTTTCATCATCCCTTAACCATTCTCCAGGCTGTGGCACAGCTCCAATATCTACTGGTTTCTCTTCCAGGTCCATGCCAGAATGGGGCCACGTGGGATGGCATCAAGTGCCTATGTCCCGGCGGGTTCTACGGTGAATTCTGTGAGATCCCCATCTGCCAGAATGGTGGCACCTGGGCCAACGGCTTCTGTGAATGCACCGAAAATTTCCAGGGCGCTGAGTGCCAGTTCGCCAAGGAGATCATCGAGATCAAAAACGGTAGGGAGCCATCCTGGGCTGCGGTCACCTGAGAGGGACCAACATGGGGATGGGGCCACCATGGAGGGACTGACCCAGGACTGGGGCCACCATGGAGGGACTGGTCATGTCCCCTCGTCAGGGGCACTGGCAATGGGATGGGAACAGCTGGGTCTATCTCTTACGGGTCTCCTTCTGCTTGGCAAAGTGACGGTGAATGCGACGGTGGAGATGAAGACGAAGATCGAGAACAGGAACTTCACAGAAGAACTCAGTGATAAGTCCTCTCCAGCGTTCAAGGAATTCGAGATAGAGTTCAAGGAGAAGGTGAGGGCACAGTCATGCTGGGGCATCCCCATGCCGGGGCAGTACCCTTGGCAGGTATTCAGGGCATGATGGGGTGGTGCCTGGATCTCCCCACGGCTTCACTTTGTCTTCCAGATGAGGGAGGTTTACAAGGACATAGAGGGCTACCAAGACGTGGTGATCCATGAACTGACGTGAGTGTCCATCAGACTTGTTGGGCTGGTTGGGTCCCCTGCAGCATGGGACTGCAGCCGACCCCTGTTGAGTCACTGACACCCCTTCTCCTCACAGCCAGGGCAGCGTCGTGGTGAACTACACGGTCCTCCTGGAGGTGCCTGCCAGTAGCATGGCCAACGAGACCGTGGAGACCACCTCCAAGAACCTCGTCAGCGCCGTCAGCAACTACACCGGCTGTAATGACACCTGTCAAGGAAATAACTGTGAGTGATGCTCGTGGTTGCCCCCCACATGTCAGTTGGGTGGTTGAGCCCAAGGGCACCAACCAACAGCCTCTCTCTCCCTCCCAGGTCCTTTCTGTTTCAACTCTTCATTCACCAATGTCACCAACTATGGGGTGGAAGAGGTTGAAACAAGTAAGTGAGCCCACAGGACCTTCGTCCCCACCCCAGAATACCTCAGGACCATATGCCTGAGCAATCTGAGCTGTGTCACTCCACCCTTAGGTCTGTGCAATAACTACATCCCGGGGGGTTTTGAGTCCTACTACACCCCACTCACCACCAC